TATGTATGTATGTATGTATGTCTGTATGTATGTATGTATATATATAAGTCTGTATGTATGTATGTATGTAGGTGTGTATGTATATATATATTTGTATGTATGTATATATGTATGTATGTATATATGTGAGTGTGTATGTGTTGGTGTATATGTGAGTGTGAGTGTGAGTGTGTGTGCGTGCGTGCGCGCGCGTGTGAGTGTGAGTGTGAGTGTGTGTGTGTGCGTATATATATATATATATATATATATATAATTGCCATTTTCTTCGGCAAGCCAATCTTAACTTACCAATTCATCACTCCCTGCTCTCGCACCCATCTCCATTCCCAATCTCATTCCCATTCCTGTCCCCCCCCTGTATACAGTATGTGTGCGCCATGACCGCCATAGGACAAGTGCTGGCCTGTTATGACTCAGACAACAAGTTCCCTGCCTACGGCTTTGGTGCACGGTTGCCCCCAGATGGAGAAATATCGCACTGTTTCCCACTTAATTGGAACGAAGATCAGCCAGAGATACACACCATCGAGAGAGTGGTGGACCACTACGCGCAAACAGCACACGGGGTGCAGTTCTTTGGGCCAACCCACTTTGCAGAGGTAGGCTGTCGCGTGAGCAGAAGCAGTAACACTGTGTGTATACGTAACAGTGTGTGTACATATTCATATATATATATATATATATATATATATTGAATTGTTGGCAAGGCTGTCGCGGTAGCAGGAGCAGAAACACAATGTGCATAGGTATTGAGTTGTATTGAGGTGTTGGCAATCGAAGTGCTTGCCAAAGATGTGATCGCCATATGTATTCGTACCGGCAGACAAAACGCTGTGTGTATGCGTATTGGAGTCATGGTAATCGAAAAGCTTACCAACGATGTGATCGCCATATGTTTGGGTATTGGTTGACAGTAGAGCGTATGGTCCTCTGCACCTTAGAACGCACTCACGCATCTGCCGCAGTGGTTGTGTGGATAGTGTGGATGTGTGTGGATGAAGTTTGTATCCGCAGTGGATGTGTGTGAGCTCGTGTACCAGCACTGTGGATGAAGTTTGTATCCGAACCGGATGCTGTAGCACCCGTCACGTGTTCTTTTGTGTGTGTGGTGGGGGGGGGGGGTCGCACAGTACCTGATAGTATCCAACACACGAGCATGGAATATATCATGCAGAAAAGGCGTTAAAAGTGGCAAACCCTCACCTTCACTGTGTGGATCCAAATTCATACGTAACGCGTACTGAGTTACACTGACTCTCAAACTGCCGGCGTCACGGTTCTATAAATAGATTGTAGATAAAGCCATCGACTACAGCAAGGGATGCACGGCGAAGGAGCAGAAGTACACCATCCTGCTGATTCTAACAGATGGCGTCATCCAAGGTACGTGGGTGGGAGTGTGGGTGGTTGTTTACTTCGCAACGAGTGTGTGGGCCTTATCCGAGTACAAACGTTCACTGAGACTTAGTATCCTGGTACCTACACACAGATACGCTAACCCTGCACACCTTGCATGTTTGTACGTGATGTCGATGTTATGTATAAGGGCGTATAAGCATAGAGATGCATACACATTCAGATAGTCCCAGTTCGGTGTCTAGACCCGTCGGTGCTCAGTGTGTACGTACGTGTCTTTTCCCGTACAGCCGTACCAATTACACACACGATGAGTGGTGCAAGTACGATGGTATGTATCACTGCGTGTGCTGTTAATGCGTGTATGTGTTACTACTATGCTCACCCCACGAGATATGTGCTGGGGGTGTACGTACCTTGTTCAAGTACGATGGTATGTTTCTCTGTGTGTACCGTTAATGCTTGCTTATGTTTTACTACGATGCTCATCTCACGAAACACGTACTGGTGAGTGTTCTGTCTGCTGACTGTGATACGTTTCACGCCACCACAGATATGCAAACGACGGTAGACAAAATAGTACAGGCCTCCGACTTGCCCTTGTCGGTATGCTCTTTGTCTTTGGCTGAATTCAGTTTTGGGTTTGGGTTTGGGTTTCATTTTGGGATTAACTTTGGCTTGGATTTTGGGTTAGGCTTTGTATTTTATTTTGAGTTTGGCTTTGGGATTGGCTTCGGGTTTCGCTTTGGGATTGGCTTTGAATTTGGTTGTTTCGTTTTGCGAACCACGTGTATGTGGTTAGTTCGTAGGGCATACATGCGTGATGACAGTACTATACATCTGGTGTTATGTATCGGCATCACATCAAGTGTTGGTGTGTAATAGCATACATACTTACATACATCCATACATACATACATACATGCATACATACATACATACATACATACATACATACATACATACATACATATATACATACATCATCATATATCTGCTCTGAGGGTCATTCTGTGCACTGACATCTCCCCGTTCTCTCGTCCGTTCACACGTGCTTGCTGCCGCAGATTGTGATTGTCGGCATTGGAGAAGCCGATTTCAGCAATATGGTAAGTAACCTGCCACGTGTACATCCATTATGTGCGCTCAATACGTTTGTCAAACTGTGTCAGTCACTGGTAACCGTATCCACTGCTATAGCCATCAGACTAGTGTCTGGGCCTTAGCATTAGACGCATGCGTACGTACACTTCAGTCGTGTTATATGGCGCTACTTCTCTTCTGATTTGAAGGGCTTGTCTCTGTGCTGCCGATCCCGAGCGTGTGCGTTGCCCAGGATTGTGCCATTCAGGCGACCTTGCCTTAGCATTTACTTAGACATGAAGGGAATAACAGTCACGTAGACTTGCACAATATACTCTACCTTAGCATTCACTTAGACTCGAAGGGTATATCTAGACTTGAAGGGTATCGTTAGACTTGAGGGGTATAGTTAGGCTTTGAAGATCCATCATTCACATAACCTTGCGGGATATACTCTACCTTATTTGTTGCTTACACTTGGAGTGTATAGCTCGAATTGAAGGGAATAAGTCACGTAGACTTGCACAATATACCCTACCTTATCATTTACTTCGACTTGAAGCGTATAGCTAGACTGGAAGGTAACAACAGGTACGTGGACCTGCACAATATACTACCTTGACTTAAATGGTTTATTGAATGGAGACTTTAAAGATCCATCATTCACATATACTTGCGGGATAAAAAATACACTTCGGCGTGGGAGATTCGGTCGTTCTACTCGCCATGTCCGTATGTGTGTGTCCGTTTGATTGCATACTGCAGCGATCGCAGATGTGTGCTCTCGTCTATGTGTGATAAGAGCTGTATGTGTGCCCATTTTTTTGACTTGAATCTAGTTTAGGTGTAATATTATAATCGTGCAAGTAGTTTAATTATGCCTAAGCATGTGTTTTAGTAGAGGTGTCTGTACGCTCGAGTTGCGAATGATATAGACCAGGAGTGTTAGCGTATACCGTTGACGTACACAAAACACTCTCATACATAGGTCTACACACTCTCATACATAGGTCTACTCCACGTGCATTTGCGCCGGACATATATACCCGCAAGTGGCAACGTAAGTAAACAGATATATGTATAACAACTGTATATATATATATATATATATATATATATATATTCTTATGTATACAGATATATGCATTATTTATACATACATATATATTTATATCTTCTGTATACATACATTATGTATGCACAACTTTGTATACATATATATGTATATCTTATGTGCACAGATATATGTATATCTTATGTATATATATATATATATATCTTTTGTATTCTTATATATGTATGCCTTATGTATACAGATATGTGTATCTATCCGTGGTGACCATCATGTCTATTATCACCACTTACAGGATGTTTTGGATGCCGATGACAACCCGTTGGTAGCATCGAATGGCCGCGTTATGAGCCGTGATATTGTTCAATTCGGTATGTGGCACGTGTGTATATATATATATGCTGC